AAGACATGGAGTATGATTTGCATAAATAAATAAACTGCAAACATATATACTTTGACCGAAACATGATGGCTAGAGCAAAATGGAATTGATAGAATCTGCAAAACATAGCTTTTACAGCATACCTCTAACACTAGTAGCCCTAGACTGATGTCCGAAGAGATTCCTGAGATTGAGGAGCATGTATGCTGCAGTGTTCATAGGCTGATGCTGATGTTGAAGAACATTCGATATAAAGCCAGAATGTAACACTTCGTCATCTCATCAGCCTTCTTCCACTGGGCATACTCCTCTTTCTCCTGCTCAGCAGCATTGGCCGCGGGCTCTGCCCGGAAAGCCTCATTGATAGCATACTTATAACCCTCAGTTGTCAACACTATGTCTAAGTTCCTCTTCCAATCAATGTAATTTGGACCAGTAAATTGATTTTCTTTTAGAATGATAGACTATAGATTGAACGACATGATGAATATAGCTTGAGAACCATGAAAATAATTTTACAGATTAAACATTACGAATTTAACTGCTAATATTGACATCATCATAAAAATATTAACTTAAATTCACTGACATCTCAAAACACCATGAGCAATGCATGATACGAGGGTAACTCTGTTAGTGTTATTGATCCCAACAAACCCTACAAAACTCAACATTCGCCAGAGAAGGGCTTCAAAGGCTAATTAATTTTCATAAGTCAAAACCAAATTCATGACGAATGAAACTAATTGTCGGTCTCCATTTGGTCATGCAATATAATTCAAGGACCCCGAGGGGGGTTAATAAATTTCATCGCATTCTAAGTGAATCCCATTTCTCGATCCTCAGTTCAACAAATTTGATTATATGTCATCCAAGGGGAAGCCCGTACGCTCTCATAAGAATTCCTGTAATCGTCTAATTAGAAATTTGTCCTGATAATTTTCTACAATTAATTTTAGTGATATCACTCGAGGGGGAGCCCATACCACAATTAATTGATTTACCGACAAATTAGAAATGAAGGCCTTAAGAATTTTACAATTAACTTTAATTTAAAATTCCTTCTCAAACATAGTATAATTTAAATGAGGATTTTTAAATATTTAAATATTTATGTAATTCTAAATTAATCCCATGCAAATGCAATAATTAATTAACATGAATAAATAAATAAACAATTCTAAATTAATCCCATTCAAAATCAATGATTAATTAAAATGCATAAATAAATAAATGAATAATATTTAATGCACATAATAAAATTTAAATAAATAAATCAACTACTATGACCATTAAATATTGAGTCTTCCTAATCAAGGAAACCTTGTATATTCTTTCTCTGTTCAATAGGAACTCCAACTGCAGTAGAATCCTGGTTGATATTGTACTGCTTGCCTGACAAGGATAAACCTCTCCCCCGCCAGCTACCCGCCGCCGCTGCCGCCGCCGGTGGTCGGAGATCTGACCGGCAAAATATATATATATATATTTTTATACGCGCACGTTCGCTCGTGTCTCTGGGCTCCTGTCCGGTTGGTATTTCGAGGTCCGTTGATCTCTTTTGATCTCCCGGTCATCAATCTACGATCACAATACGAAAAATATAATTTACACAATTACATAATCTGATCCTAGATCCAACAAATAGATGTACATGTTTTCTAAGAAGATAATTAAATCTAGTTGGCAACCTCCGAGCGAATAATTATTACAAACATTCATCCATAAGTTTCTCGACATGTCCGAGGCTTGAAAAATAAATTTAAAACCCATACATCACATTCAACAGCATTAACCAAACACATAGTTGGCCATAATAGTGAATTAAATTATTTTCTGCAAAATCGAGTTATGCAAATATAGTCCAATATATGGCTGCGTTTGAACACATCTTGTCAAATAAAGTCGTACAAATTTTGAACTTTGTACAAAACGAATTAACCAAGTGGTCTGATACCACTTGTTGGAATCTGTGAGGATCTCGTTATGTACAAATCACGAACTCAATTACCCACGTAAACCTATGAGCAGCAGATCTAAAGGTTTGACATAGAAAACTTACGACTTAAAATATATGGCGATCTGGCTGATCTTCAATTAGATTGATCCGGATGAACACACAAACATGATGGGAACACGAACTGAACGCCGGGTTCGCAATCGGGTCGTGTGGATCGAGTAGGTCAGATCACTGGGTAGGGATCTCTAGACGCGAACGGCGCATGGGGGTCGCAGGGCGCGTCGCAGACAGCTCCAGGCGGCGCTTGCGGCTCACATTGGCTTCGGCTGGCTCGTGGCTTGCTTTCGACTGGGCCGCAGCGGCTGGGTCAACGGTCCTCGGCCTTTGGGTCGTGGATCGTCGACTTTGTGCAGATGATCATTGGGTCTCGAACACCTATGGATCTCCCACTGTATATCTCAAGTCCCTCTTCAACTTGTACCAGTGGAGCAACAAGAAAGAAGATAAAACTCGAATGGGATCTAGAGAGAGGGGGGGGGGCGATTTTTGTGTGTGGAATTATGTTCCAACTCTCCTCTTCCCATGAGGTTAACGGTGTATATATAGAGCTACAGTAGGGACGCTTAAGAGATTAGGAATAGGACTTCTTAATTAATTAAAAATACTTGTGGGTCAAATCCACTATTTTAATTAATTAAATAATATTATGGGCCACCAACATAATATTATTGCTCTATCTTTTCCTAGCCCAATTTACAATTGAGACTCCAATAATAATTATTGAATTATCTCCCCATATTTAAGATAGGATTTCCATTAATTAATTCGATCACTGATATTCAAGAATTAATTAATTTATTATTACTTCACCGAAAATAGCGCCCGTTCATCACATTATTACTATGCCATAATTTAATCCATCTGCAGGGTTTAGCATAATAATCCTTCATGAACTTACTCCGGGGACATCATCAAACTAAACGTATATGATGACCGTAAATATCCTACAGCACATCAAACATGCAACAATATCACCCAAGACAGAGGGTATATTGATCCAGTTCACTAAACCGCACCCATGTGAATCAAAGCAATATATACTGAATATATATGTCTATTTAATATCTTACGGGTTAAGAGAACGCAATAAGTAACCGAGGCCTAGTTCGTTTACGACGATTAGTATAAAATGAACTGCTCCTCTCTGGAATCTTCTTCAATACATAAATGTACTAGTGCAACTAATCAGTCAAGACAAGCTGTACCGTTGGCACCACAACCATTCACTAGGGTGTTCATGTCCATCTAGGTTGTGAACCATTATTCTTGTTTCGCAAGTAACTGATAGAATGATGTTCGGTTCGCCCGATGATGACCCACCCTATCTAAGTGCAAAACAACAGAACATAAAACTTGTTTAATCTAACATGGTTGTCATTCATAAAGGGTAAAAGTGTAATATCATCCAAAGCCAAGATTTTAGTATATAACACTAACATGCACGACAAGCAACGAGGCAAGAGGACGAGAAGTCTAGTGTGAAGAAAAACTCGGAGCCGTTCGTTCAGCATCGTATGCCGTGTATATTTGTACAGAGTCAAAAAATTTTAAACCGTAAGTTCTGATCCTAACTATATAATACACTGTGTTAGGATTTATTTTTAGTTTTAGATGTGCATACCGACGACGTTCCTAATAGAACCAAACGTTTAGAGGACTCATATAAAGGCTGCTGCTATTTTCGAGAATATCATTCTAGTTTTTTCTTTAAGTGTTCGTAAGTTTTTCAGGTTTTCCTTTGTTTTTCATTGTTCCAGCATTCGCTTAAGGATGAAAGGAAAGGATAGGAATTGGAATAGTCATATCGCTCGGGACTTCCGTTTCAGTAGTTATTTGTGTGTTCTTACATCACTGAAGAGCTTACCTCTCCTTATTCACAAACGTTTTGAATGCTTAGAGATTAAGTGTTTTGTAGCTTGGAGGGATCCACATCTAGTTTGAAAGCACACACATTGTGACTAGATAAGTAACTGATAGAGTCGGGTATAGTGATGGTTAGATTGAGAGTAATTTCAAGTTGTACAATGTGGGAAACCGATCTATTAATGAAAGAACTCTAATAGGTAGTGGACCGCTCGCCAAATACTTTTTTTATTTAGATGTTTGGCTTTCGCTTTTAGTTTCTGGGTTCAAACACAAGTTGTGTACTCTATATACTCCTCAGTACTACATGCATAAAGTAATTGCATCACATCATGAGTAAATAATAAGTTTTTAACCGATGTATGCAAAACTCAACATATCGTAATTCAGGATGAAAATAAATTTAATATATCTTCATTTAGAGGGAAAATGGTCATTTTCACAACTGTTATAATGGTCTGCACATGATCAAAAGTTGGTATCATTTTGAAATTACAAGAAGAATCTCAAATAATATATATATCTATAATCTACAACACCTAAAAGCAGCCTTATAAATTGGCCTAAAAGAGTGTTATATTACTTGTAAAACACGTGTGCCTCTACGTCTGCTTCATGAGATGGTAATGTTAGATAGTGATGGTTTTGTGGGGTAAGGCTTCAAACCACAAAAAAAAAAAAAAATTGAAAGATTATATTAGTTGGTTGGTAATTTTTAAATAACAAAAGGGGGTGGAGTGAGAAAACAGAATGGAGGGGGACCTTTGATACATAGATAGATAGACATATATGTTATATGTGAGGTCTTCTTGTCTTTGACTCTATGATCTGTATAATATGTATGTGTCTTTTAGATGGAATTTTCTTCACTCACAAGGTTAGGTTTATCATATCATCATATGTTTATGAGAAATTGAAACATATATTTTGCTTCCACTTCACATAATCTCTAATTAACTCTCTCTCTCTCTCTCTCTCTCTCTCTCTCTCTCTCTCTACCTCTATTTATGCTTGTTTTCACAGTCCCAATCATGGCCAGTTGGAAGAACAATATCCCATACACATTGTTTTTCCTCTTAACCTCCACTCCACTAAGGGATCATTGAAATCATCATCATCAGCATAAAAACAAGAAAAAATGAGGAAGCCCGAGGGGTCGGAAAAAAGGGGGACGGCGGCGGCGAAGCTAAGAAAAGGGCTGTGGTCGCCTGAGGAAGACGAGCGGCTGATGAATTACATGTTGAGCAACGGACAAGGCTGCTGGAGTGACATTGCTCGAAATGCCGGGCTTCATAGGTGCGGGAAGAGCTGCCGCCTCAGGTGGATCAATTATCTGAGGCCCGACTTGAAACGAGGCGCTTTTTCCCCTCACGAGGAGGAACTTATCCTGCATTTGCATTCCATTCTTGGCAATAGGTACCCCTACCAAATCTGCTCTTTCTTCTTCCTTCTAAATTATTTACCATGCTTTTTCTCATTACATTTTATTAATTTGCCCGGGCACTTTAGGAGATGTGTTTTTAATTTTGAAAGTATAAAATTATTAACTACATATATATCCCGATTCTCGCTGACTACCTGATTAATTCAATTCGGTTTTCGATTATTTTTGGATTCATTTTCGGTCCCCATCAGTGTTTTAAAACGCGTATAGCGTAATGCGTCGCATTTTAGTCTTTCTATTGCGTAGCGTGAATAGCGTTGCGTTGTTGCGTACGCTATTTGAGTATAACAAATATTTTTATAGAAATCTTATATATATATATATATATATGTACTTGTATATAATAAAATAGGATGGTTGATTTTCTAAAAATTATCATAATATATTTGAATGAACACAAAATAACATCTAATAATTATTTCTTATAAATGTTTAATGTAAATATCATAATATAAATTTTTAATGATAAAGCGAATATACTAAAAATTAAAAACAAACAACAAAAATTTAATAAGATATGTCATAATTTAATTTGAAGCATATACATTGTAATTAATCTTTTTAATTTAATTATAATTTAATTATAACCACTAGATCTAAACATTTTATTCCTAAATTTAAATGTCAAATACCCAAGCATATAATGGTATAATAGACCTATATTGATATAATAAATTGTATTACTCAACATAGGAATTTGTATTTTCAATTTATTTTGAAATCATTATCAAAATTATTAGTTTTTAGTTGTCATTTAAAAATATAACTCTAGTCCCTAAAAATATAATTTTTTTTTTATATTTTATTAATGTCGTTGAATAAATATAGCGTAAAGTAGTACAAAACTGCGTAAAATAGCGCAAAATAGCGAGAAATAGCATAAAAAAAGTGCTATTTCAGCATTTAGCGTAAGCATTTTGAGAAAACACTAAACATATAAAGCTACATCGCATTTTTTGGAAAAAAAAAGAATAATATATTGAGCTATTTAAAACAGTGGTCCCCATAGAGAACTCCATTTTGGTTCATTTAATTTAAACCAAACTAATCGACTAATAATGCACAATTTTTTTTTTTTTTTTAAAAAAAAAACTATATATATAATTGGTTGTATAGTTTTTGGCGAATTAACGTTATAGTTAGACTTTTCGTGGTTATTTGATTATTTCCTCATCATGTAAGACTGATTACATAGTATAATCCATACTATATAGATATCCATGCATGCATCCCACTTAATTACATCATATTTTACGTGGAAAACGATTAATTATACACACAATTTCATTTCACACCAACTCATTATATATTTGAAATTAGGCATGCTAGAGTGATATATAAGAAAATGATACTTGTACTGACAGTTTGTGCATGCATTATATGATCAGGTGGTCTCAGATTGCTGCGCGCTTGCCGGGAAGAACAGACAACGAAATAAAGAATTTCTGGAACTCCACAATCAAGAAGAGATTAAAGAACAACAATAACGACAACAACACGACTTCATTCTCCTCACCAAACAACAGCGACTTATCGTCCGACCACCTCATTATCAACCCAAATATTGCAACGAAAACACAATGCCCGATTTTCATGCAAGAATACGAGCTTCTCTCCTCCTCCTCCTCTTCCTCATCCATCCAGCCCAATCAAGATTTGACTACTTTACCCCTCACACAATTCACGAACAACCCTTTCAATATTCTTGATGATCATCATCATCAAAATATCTTTGACATTAATTCGGGTTCGGAGCCATTATTCAGCCTGCCGCCTTCTACATATTTGCATGAGCAACAGGTGTTGATTAACAATATGGTAGGGGGTGGTTTGGGGGATCTCATGGATTCATATGTCATGGGAATGGAAAATGACATTTCTGCCCCTGGATTCGAGACGAAAGGGGTTGAGGAGCAAGAAGAGAGAAGTGGTGGTGATTATAATGCTGCCTTTGACTATGTTTTGGAGAAGAAAAACAATAGTATGATGATGAGTGGGGTCAACTACATTAAACAAACTTTAACCAATAATAATAATAATAATAATAATAATAATAATAATAATAATAATAATAATAATAATGGTGTTGGTGGTTTAAGTAGTGAAAGCATGAAAGGTGAGTCTGTTGGGATTGAGAATAATTGGGAATTAGGAGAAGGCTTCAAAATGGGAGAATTAGATTGGGAAGGTTTGTTGGCTAATGTCTCCACCTTACCTTACCTTGACTTCCATTTTCAATCATAGATATTATTTTTCTGCCCCTAAACTTTTTGTTAATTACAACATACATACATATACCCTTCATTCTCTCATGCACCAATAATAAAGGATTCATACTCTATTTTTTTTTTTTTTTCAAATTTCAACTTGTAATAAGTAGTCAGTCGTATAAATTTGTATAGATGGATACAAAATGAAAGAGTTAATTAGGTAGGCTGGAGAGAATTTGTCAAGAGGAGAATATTGTTTGTACTATAAAACAATAAGAAACGTTCTTTATATTTGTTCTTTCTCATATTTCGGCTGAATTTTATTTTTTCGTACTAATTTTTCGAAAAAAGTCCATCATATAGGGTATCATCTAGAATGGTCCACTAAGTTGTCACTTTTCATGTACAGTAGTCAAAATGGTGTACTAAAAATGACAATCACTTTTAGTACACTATGTTGGTTTTTGTACGAGTTGTGATTAAAGTGGCAACTTAATTGACCATCATCTACGATGTTTTATATGATGGATTTTTTTTTAAAAAATGACCAACATAGTGGACCGTTTTTGCCTCATTTCTCCTACTAGAAACTTTGTTTGAGGAGAATCTATCATTTTAAGGTCCATGACCACACAACAAAACATTGTATAACAAATTAATGTCCTTTAATCTTGTTGACATAAAGTTTAAGCTGTGTGTAAACAGAGTGTTTTAAGAAAGTTATGCAAAAGTGATACCATCTATAAATTAAGATAGTGCCAGTCAAAGATTATATAGTGATACCATACACAACATCAAATGTATTTTCAACATGATTGTCCATTAAAATGAACTTGAAACACTAACTTAAATTTAAATCTAAAATCCATAAGAAAAAACCAAAAATCCATTATAATGCACAAGTCTAGTTCGAGGATAAAAGCAAAAAGCCTTGATTGAGTGGGTGCATATCAAATTAAAATTTATGTTTATGTAACTTATTATCTTTTGAGCCAATTCATTGACCAATAATAAAGAGCAACATAGACCCACCAAATCAAGAAAAGAGAAACAAATTCATGCCACTTAGGCCCAGTTTGGTTGCTCTTTCAGATTGGGCTTTTTGTCAAGCAGTTATGGCTCATGTGAATTGTAGTACGTTATCCCTTTTTTGCTTATCTGGTTTATTTTTTAGTTGTTGGATAAGTGTTAGTATTCAATTAATAACCCACAAGTACAACACCCGTGCAAAATACGAGTGCATAAAAAAAATAATAATAATTAGAAAAAAACAGTAAAAGATTTTAGCATTGTAGTTTTACAAAATAAATAAATAGAAGAGATCCCGTTAGAATTGTTGGATTTTTTACGTACAAACGTAGCTGTTGGGGTATCACAACAAGCGCAACGGACAAAAATACCCCTCCAACGAATATGGCGAACACTACTCCAAAATAAGCCAACACAAATAAAAGACGAGAAATAAAAGAACACAAAAATTGATAACGGAGTTCGGCAAAAATAGCCTACGTCTCCGAGCACCACCAACCGCAACGCCAAATTTACGAAACTCACCAACAAAATACAACTAGGGTTAAATAACCCACCAAATAGGATTTCCTTAATTAAGGATTTCCTTCTAAATAGAAGAGAATAGAATAAGGTGCAATTGTAACCCAAAGGCAAGGGACCTATTTATACTAAAAAGATCCTACACATCTTTGGTATACATCCGATGTGTGACAACAATTAATCAAAAAACTAACAATTCTCCACCTTGACTAATTTTGCTCCCACTTCCAACTCAACTGCTAGTGGTGCCTCCGAATGCGCCTCTCGGCGCCAACTCAAATATGCAGAATGTTGGTCAAGTCTAAACAATGTTAAACTTGACTGCTGTCACTACCTTGGTCATCATATTTGCAGGATTCTCCGTCGTCTTGATCTTCTTCAACACAACGGTTCCATCTTCTAGAATCTCCCGCACAAAGTGATAGCGAACATCAATATGCATCGTTCTTGCATGAAATACTTGATTTTTCGCTAAGTGAATAGCGCTATGACTGTCACAATGCACTAAGACGTGCTTTTGACCAACTCCCAAGTCTTCAAGCAAACTTTGAAGCCAAATAGCCTCCTTCACAGCTTCAGTAACCGTCATATACTCTGCATCTGTTGTAGACAAAGCAACTGTTAACTGTAAGGTAGACTTCCAACTGACTGGAGCTTTTGCAAAAGTGAACAAAATATCCAGTCGTTGATCTTCGCTTATCCAAATCACCCGCGTAGTCAGAATCACAATATCCAACTACACACTGACCAAATTCATTCTGCTCATAAACAAATCCAACGTCTACAGTACTATGAATGTACCGTATAATCCATTTCACATCTTGCCAATAACCTTTCTCAGGGTCATGCATATACCTGCTAACAACACCAACTGCTTGTGAAATGTCGGGCCTTGTACACACCATCGCATACATCAACTGCCAATTGCATTTGCATATGGGACTCTAGTCATGTACTCTCGTTCTTCATCACAATTTGGCGACAGTTGGGCACTTAACTTGAAATGAGGGGCAAGTGGTGTACTTACTGTCTTCGACTCATCTTTTATGCTGAAACGTTGTAGTACCTTATTCAGATATTGCTTCTGAGTCAAACAAAGCTTACCTCTCATTCTGTCCCTGCTTATCTCCATCCCGAGTATCTTCTTAGCTTTCCCCAAGTCTTTCATCTCAAACTCTTGATTCAACTGAGCCTTCAATTGATCAATCTCCACTTGGCTCTTTGATGCAACCAACATGTCATCCACATACAAGAGTAAGTAAATGAAAGATCCATCTTGCAGCTTGCGTAAATACACACAATGATCATGTCTGCTTCGCGTGTACTTCTGCCCAATCATAAACTTATCAAACCGTTTGTACCACTGCCTCCGAGATTGCTTCAGTCCGTACAACGATTTGTTCAACTTACAGACCCGATTCTCTTTTCCAAGAATTTTGAATCCTTCTGGCTGAGTCATGTAGATTTCTTCATCCAAATCTCCGTGTAAGAACGCCGTCTTCACGTCAAGTTGAGCTAGCTCTAAATCCAACTGTACTGCTAAGGCCAACAAAATTCTAATGGAAGAGTGTTTAACAACTGGAGAAAACACTTCATTATAATCAACTTCTTCCTTCTGAGCGTAGCCTTTAGCCACCAACCTTGCCTTGTAGCGCACATCATTCTTATGACGAAATCCATATTTCTTTGCAAATACCCACTTGCATCCTATCGCCCTCTTGTCTTTTGGTAGTTGCGTCACCTTCCAAGTTTGATTCTTCTGGAGAGACAACATTTCTTCCTCCATAGCCCACTTCCACTTCTCATTTTCTAAACTTCGAATTGCATCTTGAAAAGTGAAAGGTATGCCATCATCAACAATTGGAAGTGCATAAGCCACCATATCCGCCAATCGAGCAGGTTGTTGAATCTCTCGTCTGGGCTTTCTCAATGCAATGGATAAACCTAATGATTCATGAGTCTGAACTTCATCATCCGACGAATCATTTGATATTGTTTCGTCGATCATAGTTGGTTGTCTCGTCATCGCATCTATCTCCACCTGCTTCGGTGTCAACTCCACCTATTGGGTTTGCATCGTATTTATCATACTTTGTTCATCAAATGTAACATCTCTGCTAGACACAGTTTTGTTCGTCTCAGAACACAAAAGACGATATCCCTTCACGCCAATAGTGATTCCCATGAACAAAGCCTTTTTCTCTCTTGGATCTAACTTTGAATCCTTCACATGATAGAACGTAGGACACCCAAAGACATGTAAAGATCCATAGTCAGCAACATGTTTCCCCGACCATACCTCTAACTGTGTTTTACCATCTTTTGCAGATGACGGCAAACGATTTATGAGGTGTTGCACGTATGTTACAGCCTCAGCCCAGTACTCCTTGCCCAAACCAGCATCGGACAACATACATCGAACATTCTCCACCAATGTTCGATTCATGCGCTCTTCCAACCCATTTTGTTGTGGTGTCCGTCTAACGGTGAAGTGCCTAACAATGCCATTTTTACGACAAACTTCTTGAAAGGGATCACTTGTATATTCTCCACCATTGTCCGTTCGTAGGACCTTGATCTTCCTTCCAGTCTGGTTCTCAATTTGTGTCTTCCATGTAATGAAGACACCAAGCACTTCATCCTTCGTCTTCATAGTGTACACCCAAGTACGTCTGGAAAAGTCATCGATGAAAGTGACAAAATAGCGTCTTCCGCCTAATGATGGGGTTTTAGAAGGTCCCCACACGTCCGAATGAACATAATCCAAGATACCTTCGGTATTATGGATAGCCATTCCAAACTTCACTCTCTTCTGCTTTCCCAGAACACAGTGCTCACAAAAGTCTAGTTTGCACACTTTGACATCTTTCAATGGTCCTTGTTTTGCCAATGTTTGCAAGGACTTTTCACCAGCATGTCCCAAACGCATATGCCACAACTTGACTGCTTCAGACTCCTTGTCGGTGGAATCTGCTACTGTTACTGTCCCAACGATTGTATCACCTTCATAGTAATACAAATTATTTTTCCTGATGGATTTCATCACCACGAGCGAGCCAGATGTAGGTTTCATAACTCCATCTCGCAAAGTCACTACCAAGCCTTTGGATTCCAAGGCTCCTAATGAGATGAGGTTTTTCTTCAAACTCGGCACGTACCGAACATCCGTCAAAACTCTGGTGGAACCATTGCGATTCTTCAAACGGATTGAACCTATCCCAGTTGTCTTACAGGCATTATCATTACCCATATAGACAACCCCTCCATTGATCTCCTGAAAATTGAAGAACCACTCCCTTATGGGAGACATATGGTAGGTGCATCCTGAATCCAAAATCCATTCGTCTGGATGAGATGATGAAGGTGAAACCACAAGTGAAAATTCTGAGTCTTCACTTCCACCGTCAGCAACATATGCATCTTGAGGAGATTTGCCCTTCTTATTCAACTTAGGACAGTCTTTCTTCCTGTGTCCCTTCTCAT